CTGACGAAGGTTTCAAGCTTGTCTGAAGCAAAATAAAACTGCATTCCACGTTAATTTGCACAGATACGGCTATATATCCATCAGTGTACAAGAAAAACAAATTAACTTGAAAAGATTAGTTTCTACAAGGACATGCTGGGTAAGCCAGCAGTCGTTGGCTTACCGTGTTTGACCCAGTGGCTTTGTGTGTCACCGTAGTGACACAATTCAGGGCTGGGCAACAGACCAGAAGTACTTTCCGCACCTAACGAAGGAAATAATTCAGAAAAACATAATTTCTCCTACAGAAAACACGACAGATAAGTATAAAACAAGCACTCAAGAAAAATGGTACAAATGCAGTAGCCTCTCATCCCGATCCCATCGCACACTGGATTACTCCTTCATGTTAAAGTTGATATGTTAGCCAAGAAGAGTACCCAGAAGGAGAATGTAGAATATAACTTTGGTATAACTGTGTCTAGCATTAGGAATAATATTAGGAGAGAAGTAAATAGTGAAAATGATTGTTATAGGAATGCAATTAGAAGCCTGAGTAGATCTATAACCCACTATGATAACATGAACGTAGATAAGTATGTTTATGAAGCAACGTGCAATGTGAACAGACTGACTGATGTTGTAGTGGCCAGGCTTAGGCTTGGTTACAAGTACTTCTGGCAGTTTAGGAGACACACAGATGATGATCAAACTAAATGTAAATTATGTGATCAGGCATATGGTCACTCTCTTGAACACTATGTGCTTAATTGTCCACTTATTGAGGAATGCAGACATGTGACATGTCAAGATATCTTATTAATTAAAATAAGATACCAGATATACTAAGCAAATTTCCTAAATTTGCTTGTAACAGATAAGTGAGCTATAGATATGTAGATATAAATTCATTTGTATTCCTGTTAACCCTTTTGGGGCCTAGTTCCTGGGCCTTTTGTGTATCCATATGCTCTTGCGCTACCGTCCACAGGATGGATATGGGGAGCACAATAAACTAGCCACTTCGGTGGCAAAATCTATCTAATCCTCTCATCCAAAACTCTACGAGACATTACCAGAGCAGTATTAAGGGGATAAAATAGCACCAATACCGGAGTCTATGCCTCTCCCGGTGCAGGATGTGACAAACGATGCGCAAATAAGGAAACTTGCGACAACGTTTCGGTCTGAGTTGGACCATTGACAGGTCATACTGTTTCAACCACGGTATTGTGGCTTGTTATTCGTTCGTGACGAATAATACACATGAGAAAACTTGCATACCATCAACACCAGAATAGAACACCAATATACTTGCAAGACTCACAATATCCACAATGCTTCTTGTCATCCACCAGTACAAACATTTCCACCTTATAGCATGGAACAACGCCAAACTCATCTTCAAAGAGGACAGCGGAACTAAAAATAGATGCCTACAAGCAATTGTTATTTGTACCCAGGATAATATAATGGAAAATCGAGGTGTTTCCATCATAACAAAGAAAATTAATAAGCATCACATTACATAGGCAGCTACTGACCAGCAAACAGTACACCCACAACAGCTTGACCCTCATTAACGATCCAGGGACCTGACACACATCTTGTGTTCTTCCCAATATTTACACTTTTTCGAATTCTTGATTTTGTATCACTTGCTGACCACCTTCACGTCTACATAACTGTAACTCGCACCTGTTTCCATTTTTCCTTCCGAAAGTATTTATGCATGTTAAGTGTAATGCTCTGTAAGATTCTGTCCGATAAAAGCTTGTTCTTGCCCACTTCTTTCTTTGTCTGTATGTTTAATCTGTATGTCATGCTAACTGCATGCCGTGTACTGTTCGTGCTGTAAATATTGTTTGATTCTGTGAAATATGTTTACGGTTATCAGTGCAATCCATACGTGGTCGTCTTTCATGCGAGTTAAAAATCTTCTGAGTATATGTAGTTTCCTAAGAGGTTTCTTGATTCTTGATGTGTTGGTTCAGTGATGTCTGTTGTCAAAATGTTGGCCGCTTTCTGCAGTCACAGTCACAGTCCCAGTAATTTCTTTTTGTTTCTACCAAGATCTTTGGAGATTTGTTAACTTGACCTTAGTTAACATGTCGATTAGGTTTTTGTTTTTTTAAAAATAGGGCTAAGACTCACTATTTTTTTTGGCTTTATATACATACGCTGGAAGGTTCCACTGCCCAAAATATTTGCAGTGTTATAGAGAAATTTAAGTGTGCTAAGTTCATATTAAAGATAGCGCACTGTGGTGTTTAATATAGTGGAATTATTCCAGGTCTAACCTAATCTAAAATAATTTATACATTGACTTTGTCACCGTTTAGTTTGTGCAAAAATAAGCACTTTGTAATGGGTTCAGAAACTAACGTTGTATTTGGAGGCAGAGTGGGAGCTGTGATGGTTTATGTGTACTTGTGGCAGAGGCTCGTCCTCACACTGTCAAAAAGAGCTTGTGGTTTCCAACATGTTCCTCCCACAAGGGAGTATATAAGACAGGTCGCCACTTGCAGCAAGCTACACTTCAGTTCGGGTTAATTAACCTGAGAGTGCCTAAGTAGGCTCAACTAAATTAACAAAACTTAACTTAAAGTATCTAATAATAAAATTTGGCCTTGACTTAGACCCTGCAGAAACTGACGCACTGTAACCAGTTGGAAAAACTAACACTGTCTAGTTCAGAGTTGCTAGAGTACCGACTCAACAAGACACAGGGAAGTTGCATCAACCAATCTGGTGTTGTCTTGGGTCACTACAATACACTCATACATTCCCACTCTCTTCAAGAGGAGTGTCTCGATGCCGGCGAGCAGCTCGTAATTCAAGGAAGTGGAGTTACCTTTTTTCCTTTCTAGAATCAAATTTGAATACCTCCCATTTCTGAGGCGCTGTATGACTTGAGGGTTTAGTGTTTCCCTATGGAAATGTACAGTAAACTGCGTTTTCTTGGTTTTTGTCCAAATTTGGATTTCTGCCTCTTGTTATCTTTCCTTCCCCTGTTCCTCTTCTCTCTCTCTCTTTTCCTCTTTCTTCTCTTCCCTAGAACCCTTGGATCCCTTTCCCTAGTATCTCTTCCCTCAGAATCCCTCCTTTCGGAACCCCTAAACATCCACCCATTCCCACAGAACTCCCCATACCCCCTCAGCACTTCGCTGGAAACCCTTAGGTCCCCTCCCCACCAAGACTGCTCCTCCTCCAGAATCCCTCTCCCCAGAGCACGATCATCCTGTTCTCCTTGTAATAACTCCCCCAAACTGGTTTATCTCAGTCAAGAAATACCACGGAAGATTGGAATGGCCTTTTTAATGTCTTTCTTGCTGTTGTTGCGGGGAGCTGGAAATAGTCTCCCCTTGGATCAGATCTGACTACCTCCCTCATCCATCAGGCGGTATATTAACATATTTGTCGGTACTGTATACCATTAATATAATCATAGTTAATAAAGCCAAGTCCTAAACGAAGCGTTGTAATAAACAATTCAGTGAAAACGGTGTTTTGTTCGCTACCTGCCAGCTAAAAGGCTCTTGGATGACGCGAGATGCAACACAGAGAAGCCAGGCACATCATGTAGGCGACTGAAGCCAGAGTTCAGCTCTGGTAGCAGATCAAAGACACTTTAAACAAGGAAGAAACTTTTAATTTATGACGTTTCGCCGTACTGGAAGTCTTACTTAGGGCAAAAATGTCCATACCTTAAGTGTGTCTGCATTACCACTTGTCGACCTTAGCCAATATCTACTTATCAGAGTATTTATGATGTCCTTAGTTCGATTGAAGTTTTGTTTTCACCCGGAGGAACTTTCTGGGTCTACTAGTCTTTGGTCTTAACAAGGTTCACCAAAATATAGTTTTACAGTTCTACGTCGTTTTGTTTCAAATTCAGGCAACAGCTCACCACCCCTCGCTATGGCAGATGCTCCTTCCTCCAGGTCTCTTCAAGGAGGATGTCCTTCAGTTGTGCTTTGATGCCGGTGAGGGGTCTCTTTGATCTGAGGAACTGGACTTACGAATTTCAGTGTCTCCTTTTTTGCCAGGCCCAGCATGATCCCAACGGGTTTAGCACTTTTCAATTAATATAATAATAATAATTATTATTTCTTCCGATACTCAAATGGTTTTCTGTAATCGACTTCGAGAGTTGTGCTGCTGTAGGCACGTCTGCTGTTTCTTGCTGAAGATATTTTGACATTAAAAATTATAGCAGTTAATGTAATCGTATAGCAAAGGATTGAAAAGTAACTTTAATCCTATGTGTCATCTAATGCTTGTATCATATCATTTATACTTTGGTTTGTGAGATCCATTGTAAAGTATGTTACGGCTCCGGTTGAATATGCCAAAACGTGGATTACCCGCCCAAATCAAGCTTCTGATAAATCACACTTTGAAACACCGCGTCATAACGTTTTACCCATCTAGCTGAGTTCTGATATTAATAGAAAAACCTTGTTAGGGAACTGATTCACATATTAACTTTGTTAAATGTTCCCATCTTTTTGAAACTTATTCCAAAGAAAACATAGACCATCAGAGGGGTTTAAACCATATGGGTCCGTGGGGATCTTGTCAATATCAGGGGCCCATAAGCTTTATATCTGGAGAGACTTAGGTTAGCAGAGGGAGATATGGGGACTGATGGGGAATTTTGAGGGCCTTTACCATCCCTTCCATTTTGGCGCCGCCCCTATATCAATACCACCTTATTTTTCCGCCACTAACTACAGGTCACCACCCAACTGTTACGCCACTAACTACAGATCACCACCCAGCTGTTACGCCATTAACTACAGGTCACCACCCAACTGTTACACCACTAACTACAGGTCACCAAACGTCAAGAATGAGCGCAACATATGATAAGGCTTGAGAGATCGAGTAATATACAACATCTGCCTGGTCAGACCACTTTATCAGGCAATCACCACAAGCGCACACATGACTAGGAATTCATTACGGAAGATAAACATCGTCTGGAGATAGCCATGCTGGGCGTCTGTTGGTGGGACAGATAGCATTATGGAACTTATGGGGTGGCGTTACTGCGTCGTATGTGGCCAGGTAAGGTTCTCCTCTGTTGTTATGGAGAAGCCTTTCCCTTCCACCATTTATCAGAGGGCGAATGTATATAAAAGGAGACAGCAGCTTCATGCCACATTGTACTTGAACGTGGAGCGTCGGAGCGACAACTCCTCAAGCCATAACACCGCCTTATTCTACCTTGCAACCTTCCCAGCCACACAGCAACAATGAAGTAGGTGTTAAGACTTGAAAATTATACATTATTGGAATATTAACAATCTTATGTACTTGTCGCATTTTTTATGCCTTTGAATTTATTGGCTGTCAACCTATCTCAGCTCATTCTAGCCTTGTGCAAGAATGGTATATAATACCGACAAGATGAAATTAAGACACATGTGCAACATCTGGGTATCTTTATTGTAGACGTTTCGCCATCCAGTGGCTATATAGTCCTACTGTCTTCAAGCTATGTCCTAGAATTGTATTGATAAAGCCACTGGATGGCGAAACGTCTACAATAAAGATACCCAGATGTTGCACATGTGTCTTAATTTCATCATTCTAGCCTTATTTATACCACTTCCCAGGATGCGACTCACAACAGTCTGCTAACACTCAGGTACCTGTTTAATGCTACGTGAGCAGAGTCAACAGGTTTGAGAGGAGGTGAATGGTATAGTCGTACCGACAAGAAGTGGAAAAAGGAGACATGTAGTTCAGGACATTTATTAACGAAGACGTTTCGCCACTAGTGGCTTCTTCAGTCGTAAGGAAATCACTCGTGGCCAAACGTTTCTTTTAATAAAATGTAAGGGGGCTTGTCTATGCCTCTCTATTCACCTCAGGACTGAAAGTAGAATATTCGGTTATAAACCAAAGGCGCTACCACTAGGCTACGAGCCATCTTTGATAGCGTAGCGCACTGGAAGATGTCAAACTAATGTATAATATTATGCAAGTATGTTTCAAGTACCACTGAATATTTTTTACATTAGAAAAAACTCCTTATAAATAGATTTTCTTCGGAATAAAATTGTCACAAAGTGCCGTCTTTTGGAATATAGTTAACTGGAATTCTAAGTTAGGGTAAATTAAATAGACTGATTATTTTTTCTGGATTTAAATAGGGAAGGAAATACACAGGTTGCAGAGCAAATCTTTGTGTGGCTCAACGTTTAGCCATGTAGACCTTTATCATGTCATTAAGTTCTAAACAGCGAAAAATTATCCCAGTAATACCTTGTTCTAGAACCTGTGTCCTTCACTGATTGAATTCTGCCTTATATAGATGCTTGTAATAGTGTCTAAGATTTATACTGGTATGTATCAAACTATAATCGGGAAGGTTTGTAAGACTTAGATCCTCCTGATTCAGGCTCCAGACAGATTATGGGCTTCAGAGAAGGTAATCCGGTGAAGTGTTCGGGTATATACGTATACTTCAATATGCATTTGAAGGATTAAAATACCCTCTGTTGGTAATATTCGGGTGACATAGAGCTTTAATGGCGATCATGTAATCGAAGGCTTAAAATTTTATGTGCGAGCCAACTATATTATATGTGAGGTCTACTTTGTAACTCTTAACTCACGAAATCGTAATGAATCTAGAGTTTTGAGACTCTCTGACCGCGGGTTCAAACACCACCCGTAGTATGGCTTATAACTCTTAGTCTTTGTCGACTTTCAGGTTAAAGATGACCGCAGTGTCGCCTACAACTCGCCCCAAACTGACCCTTTCGAATCCGGAACTAGAGAGAAAAGTAAGTGGATATAAAACACTTTCTTTTGCATGTTAATATCACTGGACAGTCCAAGATGGCCAAGAAGTGTTGCATATTTCCGTTTGGATCCTTTCTTCCTCTACCCTAGGATGCGACCAACAAAAACTGAGTACCTCACGAGTATCTATTTACTGCTAGGTTAACAGGGGCAGCAGCTGTGAGGAAACTTGCCTATACATCTTGCCTCGTCCAGCATTCGAAATAATCCTTTCGGTTGTGAGCCTGATTCTAGAATCTATTATTGAGAGATGAAATTATATTGGTCAAATTGGCGATGGTGGTTGTAGTGGTTGGGGATATGGGAGTAACTGAGAGTAGGATATTAGTGGTAGTAACACAGAGGCATATGGAGAGTTAGAATATGTGCAGAAACTAGAAGAGAGAGTATCACCATGAAATACTAGGGCACACTGTGGTGATAATGGTTGTAGAGGAACAATTTGAATGAGTGGGATAAGAGAAGGACATTGAACCTAACAAGATCTTATCATGTATACTTAAGGCTGACGCACTAAGCAAGTCGCTGCCAAATTGTCAATAACCCACAGTACTACACTGGAGATGCCTGGAGAGGGTTACGGGTGTCAACTCCCGAAACCGTCTATCCCCGAGACGGGAAAGATTCCAGACTCCTGAAAGATAATCAGTCAAGTACTAGCATATATAGTGGGTAGTCAGGAAATTCTGTGCAACTAACCAT